ACCAAATTGCCCGATGGCGTCCATTACTGTACGTCCTTAGGTTATCCTCGATAAGAAAAACAAATTGAAAGTGTTTATGTTTATACATCGGAAGAATGTCACCTAGAAATTAGTTTGATTTGAATGAGTTCGTCCCCTCAAAACAAAGGATCAAAACTATTAAGTAGTAATCGACAAAATGTTCCGAATATCATGATTATAATTCTTATTAAGTAAAGACCTTTGTTTTTTGACATTTTCGGGAAAATGGTATGTTTCCTTCGTAATTTGATCAATAAAAATATGAATGCAACAAGTAAAATCTCATTATCTTTTACACATTTTGGGTAGAATTTATTCGGCAAAATTTTGAGATAACGTCATCAATTTTTTAGGGAATAAATAGATTCATTTTGATTAACAATTTACCATTCTTACAATGACTTTAAAACGTCTGCAAGATTTCAAAGCATCCATTTTTGGAATTCTTGATTTATTCAATAAAATAAATTGACGGATTTATTAATTTCTTTGAGCAAATCTAAAAAATATTAATGCAGTGATAAATCACAAGTATAGACTAATCATACTTTGCACATTTAAGATAAGATTTGTCTAGCAAAATTTTGAAGTGACGTCATCAATTTTTTAGGGGGGGATGAGCAAATACATTTTGATCACAAATTTACCATGTTATCTTTAAAACATCTCCAAGATTTCAAAGGGTTCCATTTTGTAGTTCCTGATTAAATTAATAAAATAAATTCACGCATTCATTATTTTTAAGTCACCTGTATAAGCAAATCGAAAAAATATGAATGGAATGATAAATCACAAGTACAGACTCATCATATTTTCTACATTTTAGATAGGATTTATTCGGCAAAATTTTGAGCTGACGTCATCAATTTTTTGGAGGGGATAAGTAAATATATTTTGATTAAAAATTTATCATACCTATCATTACCTTGAAACGTCTGCAAATTTTCAAAACATTCGGTTTTGCAGATTCAAAATTAAATTGCAAAATGTTGTTTTATAATATTGATTTTGTTTTCCAAAGTCTGAACGTTTCAGGTAAAAACTCAACACGGAGTAATTAACTACATGTGTAGAATTATGTTAATTTATTATACAATTTAAAACCCATTTACTGTGTACAATTTTGAAGTGACGTCATCCCATTATTGGTGGGGATGATGAGACAAATTAGAAAAATCTCTCCAGTACTTTCGGAGATTATCTGTCTCTTAACGGCAGACAGACAGACAGACGGAAAAAGTAGACCTATAGCTCCTAGAGAACACATAGTATCGCCACCGTGAGGCAAACTTGACGTAAACTTAACAAAAACAAAAAACTTACTTACCCCATTTGACAGACCGCGAAATTTAAAATGGTTTTATTTAAAGTTTGTAGTTTGTACACAAAATTTGGATTTTTAATTTGAATAAAATGCAAAAATGTGTTGATTAGATAAATATTAATAAAATATAAAATTTAGGTAATAAAATCTTATTAATAATTATTAGCTGACAAAATTTGGTTCCATACCAGGGGAATTTTTTGCGTTACCAACTGCATTTGCTTCACTCGTACAACAATGGATGACGATACTATGTATTTCTAGGGACTATAGGTAGACCTAGTTCTTCGTACTCTAGGGGTTATGAAAGGCCGAGAAAACGTAAAAGTAGAGAATCGGCCGAACGGACTCGATCACAATATTTCCTTCGCTTACGCTCGGGAAGTAAAAAGTGGTTGGGAGTTATTTCGCAGGACTTCCCTTGTCCCTTAACTACAGTTCAAAATCCCGCTTCTTTGAAAAGTAAAAAAAAAATGTTTCTGCTAAATCTTATTTGTGATAACCTCTGTACAGTAAAACAAATATAGATAAGTAATACCAGCAGCAATAATGAAGCTAAATGATGTCTTATAAATATATTTTGACAATCTATAAATTTTTTATGTTTGTCCACGACATCCAACTTTTTTTTAAGAACATATACTCTGCCACTGTCTATAATTCGAACACATTATGTTACGGAAACACACTTGTTTATGTTCCGCCTGGAGTGCATTTGTCCTTAGAAAATGGACAGGGGCGGCTAATGAGCTGTGAAATTGAGGAGACACAAGATGCTTCAATATCTAAATATAGACATATCATACTTATTGTTTTCACAAAAAATTGAATTTTAGAAACATTTAACAAATCAAAAATGTGGTGTGGCGAAATTAATCGCAAAAGCAAGAATTTCTGAAAATATTTGCCTTAAGGGGACTCGCTGGGGGAGGTCTAGCAATTTTTTTCTTTTTTTTTTTTACGATAAAATGATGTTAATGTAGATGTACAATAGATCAAACTGCAGCATTTTTATCACGCTTTTATTAGCTTGGGTTGTATGTATGTATGTAACGGAATCTTTGAGCTTAATTTTCATCGGTTTCTAAAAGTCTGATCATCTTGAAACTTTGCACACGTCTCAAGGATCGATGACAATGCAATAATTTGATAACAGTTTCCCATTATCCTTATTAGGACCGCCAGGATTTATAAATTCTTTTATGGATCCTGTGTAGTGGAGTAAAAGAGATAAAGCTAGCGCGCGATCTGCGCATGCTAATTAATTCCCCAATTTATGAATTTGTCGCAGACTAAAAAATGAAAAATAAATAATAGTTTAAAAAAACTAAAAAAACACGCTTTTATTGCTAATCGAACTAAAAACTAGATAATAATTTTTAATGACAGAGTTTAATATTACAGTAGTAGAAGATCAAACAATCAATCATAATAAATCACCTCAAATTAAAATTATAATAAAATTTAAGTTATTAACAGAATAATTCAATTCAGAGTAAAAAGCGTGGGGTGCATTTTACTGCGGTTCATAACTAGCCTCTCATAGATAGTTGCCAATAGAATGATTGTAATATTTAAAATATCAAGCACCCCACGCTTTTTACTCTGAATTGAATTATTCTGTTAATAACTTAAATTTTATTATAATTTTAATTTGAGGTGATTTATTATGATTGATTGTTTGATCTTCTACTACTGTAATATTAAACTCTGTCATTAAAAATTATTATCTAGTTTTTAGTTCGATTAGCAATAAAAGCGTGTTTTTTTAGTTTTTTTAAACTATTATTTATTCATGTTCTAAGCCGCTAAAAACAGTTGAAAATGTGATAGAAATATCGTAAAAACGCATAATTGTGTGTTAAATAAACATCCTAGAGCCGCTTGAAAATCCTTACAGTGAAAACGGAACGTATTTTAAAGGCCCCTGTCATATTAGAATATTGGTTAGTAGTACATTTTATTTAAATAATAATATAATAATGTTATAATCAAAATATACCATAAATTAATTCAAAATATGTCGAATGAGCTTAACAGGAATTTTCGTGAAAAATAAGTGATACAGTCCATAACAGAATTTTTAACAAAACGAACAATTATTGAAAAAAATGCGTTTGAATTCAATTGAGTGGTTAGTTCACGGTCTTGCCTCTAGGAGCGCGACGATATTTAAATTGCGCAACGGAACAGCCAGGCAAAATCCTTTTTGAGAAGGCCGACAGCCTACCCTAAAGCAATTATTATTAGCGTTCTCGCCTTATTTTTCTGATTTATGACAACGAACTCGCCCGGAAGAATAAATGCTATTGTGTGGATTATTATGTTAGAAACTGGTAGGTTGGAAGTTAAGTATATAATTGTTAATGTTTCTAGTCCATGGGAGATTAGGAATGTGCGTACTATTTTACCAAAACTACAAATTCTTTGTAGTATTTTTAATGTACTATATTTTATGTTATTAGTAATTAAACCACATACGACGACCACCAAGCACTGACTTGACACACGCAAGAACATTTATTACAAAAAATTTTTAGTGAAATTTTGAATAAATGATAGATTTATCACAAAAAAATGACGGCCTAATTTTAAATATTCTGCTTTTTTATACTAATGCAATGGTGCACATACCACTTATGGGTGCATTACGGACAGCCTACATATTAAACGGCATCCGTTTTGCATACTACAGGGACAAGATTCGAGTCTGCTCTGTGGTGTGTTGAAACGCACTCTTTAATTATGATAACATCGAATACTCACCTACCAAGATAGGAATAACAATACTTTTTCACATTTATTTTTAAAATATATTTTACAAAAAAAAAATATTGACCAGAAATGTAGACATCACATCACCTGCGTCATAGGAAATTATCTTAAAAATAAATAAGTTCGGGAACCATGACCTTTTAGAGTTTATTTAAGAACTTCTTAATTGTATCTTTCAAATGCGGAGGTAGACATTAACTCAACTAACTAAAATCTCGCTCAGAATGTTGATGTAACCTCAAAAAGATTAAATAAAGTTTTATAAAATCTACATTGTCTGTACTTCAGTAATATTTTCTTTTACAAATCCTCGTTAATGCTACGTGATCTTTTATTCTAACTGCGTACTCTATACTTACTTCTAGATTTCGATTTTATGATTACGCTAGACAGTTTAACTGTTGAACATATAGATCCAAGATAAAAATGTTACAGCAACTAATGAAAGATAACCAAAATGGATTTTCTCATGTGGAAAAAGTCGTAACAGTGATTAATTAAAACAATCACTTAATGCCGTAATTCCAGTAAATAATTAATTTTGTCCGTCAGTTACCATGCCTCTATGAAAACCACTCTTATAACGATCTAAACAAAACCGGGTCGGGCATTTCCATTTTTAACACTTAACGTTTCACAGTTTTAATGAATTTTTCCGCACACAACGTCAGAAAAGCTTTCAAAACTTTTATTTTGCCCATTTGCAAATTGAATTACGAGACGCACGCGGCTCAAATTAAATTTAAAACTGTTACCGTAACGGCGTAATGAAAACGCACTTTAACCCGCAATTTTTCTCTCTTTAACTTCTGCAATTTATTCAAGCCACTTTACGTTGTACATTTTAATATAATATATAATAACAAAGTTACTCTTGCAGTTGCCGTGTGGGCGGCAGGATTGGTAGCCGCCATCGGGGTGTCCGTCCTCGGAGTGTTCTGTTTCCTCAGCGTCATCCAATTAGCCATGCTGAGCTCAAAAGAAAAAGTTATGATGAAATACAGCGTGGTCGTCATAACGAAATTAGCATTAGGACTTCTGGCAAGTAAGTTGGTTTGGTTTTTTAACATAAAGACCGTGGTGAAGCGCACAATAAATCCACCACGATTTAGCACGGGAACGGGAAACTTTATTAACGCACACAATTACACAAATCTCCGTTTACTGAGTAAGCACGCGTTGTTTAAAAACAGTCCTACATATACTTGAAAATAATATAATTGTGCACCTGCTGCACGCTAAAATTTAGCATCCGGTTTTCGTCCGGTAGTTGAATGTTTTCCGTGCAATCATGTAATTGGTAGAAATCCTTGGGAGTGCAATGAAACAAAGTTGCATTTTGATATTGCGGCGCTTTTCCGTATGCTTTGCCAATGCAGTACGTCGATGTCATAAGTTTCCAAAGGAAGCTTGTTTGTAAATAACATCCGTGTAGAAAGCTTGCTGAGATGCGATGAAAACTGACAGGAAATTAAACCTCTCCAGGTTTGCGTTCGGAGTATTTATTGTGGCGAATTTTTAGAAGAAACTCAATAGCGCCGTTTTCAGGGTGTGCAAGATATGATTCTTTTTAGAATCAGGGATGCATTATATAGTACTACATTACGTAATAGATTATGTTTGTGATGTTTTAAGATTTAGGAACTGATACTTGCATCTCCATAAGAAACAATGTTAAAATGATGGCATATAATGGCTCAAACTAATAAACACTTTATTATAAATTATTTTTTAAATCTGGTTTGTAAATTTTAACGTCCTGTGATGATACTAAGTTTATATAGAAACAAAATAATAATAACGTTTCCTACAATTTTATCTTTTTTGTTTTCCACATTTCCAACTGAATTCCCTAAATTTATGCCAATTTTAATTAAAAATTTAACTTATAGAAACACGATTTACTTTTCTAGCAACAAGAATCTATCAGAAGCTAATACAACCAGTGGAAGTTCACTGTTCAATTAATTTTTTCAGCTAACATTGGTGACGAACATTTATATTACGTGTCATATTGCGCCCTTCGGTCTCTGGCACATACTGAAAATCCGATCCGCATATCATTTTTCAGTCAGCTAGCTGACGCTAAAAGTTGTTTACAGCCTGTTAGTCGAATTTTTCAAAAAACGCTCTTCATAATACATTTGTTGCAACCTTTTGTTATTTATAAATTTATTGACCAAGTTTTGACCAGTTTTTATTTTCGGAGCATAAGCCATTGTAATTGAGTTCATCCGGAGAATGGTCATTTTAATTTGTTCTTAAGACACATAATTTAAGTGCAATGGCAGAAGTCAGTAGATGTATAGAAGGTAAAACGCTGACCAAAAACTATCTAAGCATCCCCACCAGCAGTTTGATGACCTCAATATTTTATAGTAATATAGAGAAACGTTGACGAAGCACTCATTAGCTCAGTTGGTTAAAACGTGAAGGTCGCGGATTCGATCCCATCAAGGGCCATTTTTTTACACTGAGACTATTTTTTTTACCTTACCATTGTGATGCATCCAACAACAAAAACATAATCTTGTGCGTAACATTCAATTAATTATACAAATGATTTCGAACTGCCAAAATATATTATAAGTTTATTGCTGATAACGTAAGTATATTTTTAAAGATCTTTAAGTACGTATTTATGAAATACTACATATTGCACGTTGACTGCAGTTGTTAATAAACTGCTATTAACGTCAATGCGTACATATCTATTAAAAATAACCTTTATACCTAGAGAAAACTGATAATAAACAAACACTGGAATTTCACTGCAAATAAAATGCATCCAACGCTAGAAAGTCTTGTTAATGAAAAACACGTCCATTTGACGAATGATTAATTTCATGTTTTCCTAATGTGTTATAGCTTCTAGAATAAGAAAAAGTAGGTCTTCCTGACTTACACCTTAGTAGATCTTGAAAAAATAATTAATTGAAATTAAAAAAAAAAAAATCCAAAATAAAAATTTCCAGTAAGGATCGAAAATAAAAACAACTTCATTTTGCATATAAAACTACCCTTTTTATTTTTATTCTGTAAATATAATTACTATTTTTTTTAAGTTTTTCTTTCTACAATACACGAGTACACAGTTCGTAAGAAATTACAAAAAATGATTGATTTAAAATCACCTTTAGAGCTTCAAGGAATGTTAAAAATAAGGATAATGTGCTTAACGTTACGGCGATTGGCTACTTTCATGTTTTCTCGATGTTTCATACCCCTAAAATATGAAAAAGTAGATCCCGCGTTTCGGTCTGTTTGTCGTCTGTGTTCATGTTTATTAGACAATTTTAAAACTACAGGACAGATTGTTGTCAAATTTTATGCAACACTACCCCAAAAGTGCCTAAAATGGGATAACGACATCACAAAATTTTGCGTAGTAAACTTTATCTAAAAAAAAATATATATATATATTCTTATTCGTTCAAAAATTTTAGAAATGCAACTTCTAAAGTTTTCTTTTATTACTTCTAACATTTCCTGCACCCAACGGACTCGAAAATACCAAGAAACCCTCCAAATTTTAGCTATAAATCGTATGTTTAAGTTATTTCGACTTGCTTTGACAATTTTGGACGTGTCTACACAATTGTGCTTTATGAATCCGTATTGATTTTTGTACTGTAAACGTCCAGATTTTTGAAATAAATCAGAATAGTATAAACACATTTTACGATTTAACTTTAAAATCTTGCAAAACATTTTAAGGATTTCATGAGCAGGGTAAATGGTTAATCAAAATGTATCTCAAAATTTTACCGAATATATCTTTTCTAAAATGTTATGAGTCTATACTTGTTATTTACTTCAACATGTTTTAGAATTGTTTTGTACAATTTTCTACAGAGTGACGCAAAAACATCAATAAATGAGTCAATTTATTTTATTGACCAAATCAAGAAAAACAAACAAAATTTTCTAATGGAAAACTCACTTGACACATACGCATAGCCTGAGTCTTTACCTTTACTTTAACTCTGTACACACATATCTTTATTTTAACTTAAAGGGGTTATCATAAACATAGTATTTTTTTTTTTTTGCGAAAAAGCTGGATACGTTGTACTAACATCAGGGATGAGGGAAGTTCTGCCTACATAAGCTTAAATGGATTTTCCATATTAATATACACATTTTTAACTCAAATAATGTAATTGTTAACGTTGCAAGGAAATGCCTCGGTGGTGTAATCAATCTCTAACGTTGAGAGGTGATGTAATGATGATAACGATGATAACGGCCTAAGGGAAGGAATTATTTTAGTCCCCCACCAGTTCACGCTAAGATGAATTTTGTTAATTTAACTGCCGTTAATGAACTATTAGCAATCTTGTGTGAAGAATTACGAAGCGTTATAATGTAACACTTACGTATTAGCATCCAGAAACTTATTCATAATTAGACAAACAAAATCAAACGAGTCCTGGCTAAGTTAATTTCATGAAATCTCCTAGTAAGTATCCGTTACATTGTTGTAGAACCAGTTAACGATTAAAATCCTAACATGAACTGTGAATTTACAAACAATGAATTAAATTTACACGGGTTGGCGTCGTCCAAAAATTCGCCTGTTCCGATTAGAAAGTTTTAAGAATTAGCAGCGCGTGTTGGGTAAAACTAAAAAAAAATTTGATTCAAATTCGGTCACCACAATAGTGAAGTATCTGCCACGAGTTCTGAACTGACTGACATTTAAAGATGAGTCGTCATAGATGTCAGGGAATTACAAATTTGAAGCTAATATTTCGTTAGTTTTGCCCTTTTAAAAAAGCTTTACAAAACTTATTTGTAAGATTTTACAAAATAGCTTTCAAAAACAGTAGTTTTTGACGTTAATAGTGATTTCTATAGAAGACTTAAAAAAAAATTGTTCATGGCCTGACAACTTTGATGTTTAATAATCTTCATTTTTGATGTTAAACATACATATACTTATATAATAACCTAGAATTAATGTATACTTATATTTGTATACATTTTATGTCTATATTGTCCCAATATTTATTGTGGAATCTGACTTGTTTGGTTTAGCCAATGAATTTTCAGAGAATAACTTCACCATCTTAATTTAAAATAAATACTAATAGTGAATTAAAAATTAGTCTGAATGTATTTCGAGACAACTTCCCTTGCCCCTGAAGTACACTGCAACAAATTGCGCTTCTTCGAAAAGTTATAAAATCTCATTTTCCAATTTTTTGTGATAACCTCTATGAAGTAAAAAAAGTATAAATGGATTAATAAACCACAAGTATAGAGTCATATTGTTGTGCACATTGTTGTTGGGATGTATCCGGAAAAATTTTGCTATGACGTCATCAATTTGTCAGAAGGGAGAAATAACGTTCCATTACGATTAACATGCTTGCGACGGATAAAATTAAAACATTTACGATATTTCGACCCATTAAGTTAAATTGTGAAATGTTATACGATTTTGAATTTTGAAACAAAACATCTGGATATCTACGATAAAAACTTACACGGACTCATAAACCACAAGTGCAGAGGTATGTTGCTTTACAAAATTTAAATAGTATTTGTTGAGCAAAATTTTGTTTACCATTTCCCAAGCTTCCAATTACCTTAAAACGTTTGAAAGATGTTAGAGCATACACTTTTTCAGTTTCAAAGTAAAATGGTGAAATGTTTTTATGCGAGTACAATTGATTTGTTTTTCAAAAACCTGAATGTCTACGGTAAAGAATCAACTCGACTTATTCTATAAAATTTAAATAACATTTACTGTTGTTAAATTTGGATATGGCGTCATCCCATTGTTGATATACGTATAAAATTTGGCAACAATGGGTTCGATAATTTCGAAAATTATCTGTTTAATAAAAATCGACGCAGACAGACGACAGACAGGCAAAGAGATAGACGGAAACGGGAGACCTATTTTTTTCTACTGTAGGGGTTACCAATAAAAGTTCTACGGAGTAGGTACCTTCAGATGTCACATGACGTCAGTATGGTACAATTAAATATTTTATAATACAACTGGAAATTGATTTGTGCCTTGTTTTTCGAATGTAAAGGTGCAGTTCTGCTTAATATTCGTCTTTAAGTCTTGTAAGTGAAACATATTATTACCGTAATAATTGATTAAGCAATAAAGTCATCAATTTCGCATTAAGAGAATGTCGTTAGAATCGATTTCAAGACGCAAATTTATTGAACAAGAGTACATTAACAAGTAATTTCTTTTATACAGTAAGAATCATTCCGTTGCTGATATTGATGTTACAGATGATGTTATGAACATAATCAAGAAAAACAATTTTTTATATGTAAAATTGTAAACGTGAAATTGTATTAAACCTTTTTTTTCTTATAACTTCTAACAATGGCCATGTGATACATATTATTTTTCGAAAAAATAGACATGTAGCCATCTGTTGTACATCTGATATGTATAACATCACCTACGTTACTGACGAAGAAACAAATTTAACCCTTCCAAAATATTAAATTTTGTGATTAATAATTAAATCTGCGCATTATTACTAATTCTTTCCGGACGACATTCTGACACAAAGCAACAAAGAAGTTCAATTACTGCAACAGCGTCTATTCACTACTTCTAATATGCTATCCCATCCTTTCCCGGCTTAACGCAAGAACTCAATCCTATGTGACCACATATTAAATTTTCGCTTCATTGTTGCAGCTCTGTTGGCGATCGCCGCAGCTGGTCTTTTCGCCTTACAAGCAGATGACAGGGAAAACAACGGCTTTGAAATTAGTCGTGGTCCCGGATTTTATATTCAGGTCAGTTGTGAATTTATTACCTTATTCCCAAAGTCCCATAATAATACAAGCAGTAACGTCCGCCCGATCACTATCCATGCGAAAATACTGATGGATCTTCGAATCTAATCTCGTTCTAATACATTTTTATTTTTCAGATCTTGTTGATAGTCTTAACGGTGATCCTTTTTGTTATGTCAATATATGATGTATTATTTGCGAGACGAGAGGGTGGAGATCCCACTACGGTTGCTGTGCCAATGGAAGGTGCCACGTACGGAAATCCCGGTTTCAGGGAACGTTCGAATGGTAAATATTCACTTAACATATTTTTCGCCAGCTGAGCCAGTTTTTGAAATTTGGGGTTTTAATCTTGACAAGTCACCTGTGTGTTTGCTATCATAAGGTTAGTTTTAGCTATTTTTACACACCTAATTCTTTACATAGAAATTTGAAAAAAAAACCTCTATTTAGATCCAAAGTAGAAGAATCCATACATTTTAAACCCATAGTTAATCCACTACTTTCATCGATCGTGCACCTAAAATACTTCAAGAAATTGGAGAAAACAGTTGGTACATACAAACAACTAAAAATTTTATGTATATAAACAAGTGTTTAATAATATACATCAGGCCAAAATTAAAGATTACCTACAACAGAATCATGTAAGAATGGAATCTAAATTAAAAAATTTCTGCAGACTTAGAAAACACTCTACAGAACGAAATATCAAAGAAACTTATTTAAAACCATAATAAATACAAGGTGCCCTTTTTTGGGGTGGTGACCCAATCTATCACAAGCTATATCGGGAATTTGGATTTATTAGCAACTTATTCGAAGTTAATGGATTCCGATATCGTTTATACGACCCAAGTCACCTTTAGTTCGACCAACTACCATGTTCGACAAATTTATTCTCGGCTACCCATGCAAATAAAAAAATAAAATAAAAAATGACATCGATCCATTCACTTTCAACTGACCGCGAGGGTGCAATCAATACACAACGTCGCCGATGACTCGGGTTTATCTTTCAGTACCTTCATTAGAGCTGTATCACATTTATGCGTTGAACAACTTGCTTAATTAGTGCATATTGTTAATATCATTGTTCTTAATTCGAACCGTATTCTTAAAATAAAACCTGAAATGATGACACTGTGACTGCTTATCACTAAGTTTCCGGATATCCAGCATATTCCTCTGTAAGTAGAAAACGGGTTCCATCAATGTACCCGAATAAGAATATCACCCATATTTTTATTGCACATTGCATGTTGAAATGCTTCATTATGTCTACGTAAATAGTAATTGTCGTCCCTAAATTTTTTGACCTCGGTGAACAGAACTAACAGAAAGTTACAAAAATTGATAACGGGTTTAGTTGGCATACGGTGGTCTACTTTTAACGTATATATTTATATGTTTTTTTTTTCTGTTATTCTAGGTAGGGGTGTTTCTGTGACGGATGCCAGCGGGAAACCTTATCTTCCGGCAGCTTCGAATGGAAGTATGGCTTCTATGAACACCACATCGACTACTATAGGATCTACGAACGGCTCGACAGCCGGCTCGTCTTCAGTAACAAGGTCTCCACTGAGATCTAGTTTGAAGAAGCCTAAACCCAAGGACGGTTTAGGTATCCAAAATCCTGGATTTGCAGGAACATCACCTACGTTATCTAGGAATGGTAGTACGAAGAAAGTTCGGATACAGACACATAGTACGGAAGTGTAATATAAGCTTTATGTGCGAAGTTACATATTTATTTGCGTTGAATAAGTACAAAAACGAACACTAATTGGCTTAACCCTCAAAGTGCACTTACAATTATATGCAACATTAACTTCGTGTTCTGTTATCAGAAAACAGGTGACATGTATATATGATATCATTAAGTACATGACGTTGTAAATATCTTTATTAAGCTAATGATTATTGACACGTATTTTTATTCCGTCCAAGTTACAACAAAGTTGTACATTTTTTATTATTTTGTGTTAGACCGTTTATATATTTTATTGTGTCCGTTCACAGAGCGGATGAATTTCTTTTTTGACATATTTTATTATTGTTATTTCGATGATTTATCTATGCTAAAATGGGTTGGGCACGTCTTGTACAAGACGAATGAATTAAAGAGTCTATTTTTGCTTTAACTAGAAGCTAGAACTAATTCAAGTTAGCAATTTGTAAATAGTCAAAACTAAAAATTATTGTCAATTGTTTGATTGTTCATGTTAGATGTTTCAGTACAGATTCTCCATTTTGTATAATCATTATATTCGTGATTTTGCTACGAAAATTGGGCTTTTATTTCTGTATTTTTGTGATACCTACTAAATAGATATGTATCATACGTAAATTCCTCTTTCTGTCGCAGTATCTTTTATTTAGGTCTCCACAAGCACCGTTGGACAGATTCGAGTTTAAAATTAAATAAGAGAACTTCACGAAAGTGGATTCCTCATCAAATATGCAGTAAAATTCGACTGCTTTAACTTCGCAGAATAATCCGTGGGGAACTAGTCAAGAAAATTAGTTTTAAGCTGAATGTATCTCATATTATTAACTTCCACAAACAGTAATTAAACATCTGCTTCAAAAGCTTCCCATGCATGAAAACGTAATTACCTTATCTCACCTCAAACACTGCTGCACATTTACAATGAATATGAACAATTTTTACAATAATTGAAGCACAAAGCGTAGGGCTCTGTGTAACTAACTACCAAATTCCTTTGAGAAATTCTGCTAGATTTTATTACATGCATAAATTTAAAAATACTTTTGCATTATAACATAGTGGCTATAATTGTTATTATCTAGGGTCTTTTAAATTATCTTAAATTTTTGAGTTACCCTTTTTGTTTTTTTTTTTTTGGACAAATAGTTATTTTTAAAAATCATTCTGTTATAATTGGTAATGGTACCGTATTTCGAAAATCTCTCACTTTGTATTGATACAATGAAGCAAACGGTTAATTAATGATTACTAAATATATTGTTTTCAATGAAAATATGTATCCGCAGCGCAGATAAATTGCTTGCTGTTTGCACTGTTCCATGCGACTCACCACATTATTTAAACAACGATGTCTTATTTCACCACATCGCCAGGACCTCTGGGAGAAATAAATAATATTGTTTGCGTTGTCACGAGGTATTTAGCCGGAATTGCTGACACGGAGAAGCATAACCAAAACAACGAATACACAGTCAAATTAGCTGCGTGTTGCGAAGGGCGAATGATGTTGAACGAGGTGGCAAAATTGAAAAATTGACATGAAATATATCAAGTATTTTTATTTTACGTTTCCAATTGTGCTATGACTTTCATCTTTTTCAGTCGCACGTGTAGTAAATGGTGTACCTACTTGTAACCTTAGCACTAGAAATTACTACACATTTTATTTAAGCAGGGATTTCAAGCAAACATTAAACATTTTCGAGTATCCACTGTAAAATACTAAAGAAATCCCTATCTAGAAAAATTATAGGCCGACGCCGTATGTGTGTCATATTTGCAGTGTACTAAATTCAGCTCTCCTCTACAAGCTAAAAATAATGGCGTCTGCAGAATTTTAATATCTCTGTCGGTTCTCAAGACATAGGGCCGTGGAGTTCTAACTGGGATAGATAGAGTAGATAAATAAATTTTCAAAGTATTTTCTTATTTGTTTTACTGTGGGTTAATTCATTGTAATTCTTTCTTAACCTCTTACAAATTACAAATAGACATAATTCATTATATTGGCAAAATATGGTGCAGAGAACGTGGGTCTCTTAGAAGAAAATGATGTCGAAGAATGGGACGTTAAAAAGGAGAAAAATAATTGGAAAGAAGGAAGTGAAATGGAAAAAACACAAGTAGATCTTCTCAAGGGACAAGGGATGCCCGAGATTCTTTCAAATAACTTCAAAAATAAAACACAGAAAGATCCCCGAGATTCCTTCAAATTACTTTTAAGGCAAGACATTATTAGCGCCGGTGCCCCAATCCAAATTTTAGATTCCTACTTTTAGATGAAGTAAAATTTCGCCCTTTCATGCGTCCATCTTTTTCGTACGCTGGTGAAGCAGATCCCCTCCGCTCCTGATCGGGATTCTTTTAAGCTACTCCCCGATATTCTTTTAAGCTACTTCAAAAACAAAACAAAAGGGTGCCCAAGATTCTTTCAAACTATTTCAAAAACAAACCATAAGAAGTCCTCGAGATTATTTCAAATTACTTTAGAAACAAGGCAAGAGGTCCCCGAGATAGGATCCTAGAGATTCTTAAATTACTTAAAAAACGATACATAGGATCTCCGAGATTCTTTCAGACTTCTTCTTAAAAAAAAACACAGAGAGAGAGTCCCCGAGATTCTTTCAAATTACTTCAAAAACAAGACAAGGAATCCCCGAGACTCTTTCAAACCATTTCAACATCAAATACAAGGGATCAGCGAGACTCATTCAAACTGCTTCAAAAATAAATACAAAAGGTTCTCGAGATTATTTCAGATTACTTCAGAAATAAGGCACAAGAGGTTCCAGAGACTCTTTCAAATTACTTCGAAAATAAGACACATGGAGTCCTCGACATTCTTAAATTACTTCATAAAAGGTTACAATCGATCTCCGAGATTCTTTCAAAATACTTCGAAAACAAAAGACAAGGGGACTCCGAGATTCTTTCAAATTTCTTCAAAAAGAAATACACGGGGCTCCCGAGACTATTACAAGTTACTTCGAAAATAAGACACATGGACTCCTCGAGATTCTTAAATTACTTTAAAAACGATACAATGGATCTCCGAGATTCTTTAAAACTACTTAAAAAACAAAACACATGAGGATCCCGAGATTCTTTCAAATATCTTCTTCAAATAAAAAATACCTGGGGTTCCCGAGATTCTTTCAAATTACTTAAAAAAAAAAACAAAGGGTCTCGAGATTCTTTTAAATTACTTCAAAAACAAAACAATGGATTCTCAAGATTCTTTCAAATTACTTCAAAAACAAGACAAGGGATCCCCGAGTTTCTTCCAAACCATTTCAAAAACAAGACACAAGAGGTCTCCAAGATTCTTTCAAACTACTTCAGAAGTAAGACACAAGAGGTCCCCGATTTTTTTTTTAATTACTTCAAAAACACACAAGGGGTCCTCGAGTTTCTTTCAAACTACTGGAGAAACAAGGTACAAAATGTTTCCGAGATTCTTTCAAATTACTTCTAAAACAAGACACATGAAGTTCTCGAGATTCTTTTTAGTTACTTCAAAGACAAAACAATGGATCCTCAAGATTCTTTCAAATTACTTCAAAAACAAGACAAGGGATCCCCGAAATTTTTTCAAACCATTTCAACAACAAAAAACAAAGGATCAGCGAGACTCATTTAAACTGTTTCAAAAATAAACACAAGGGGTTCTTGAGATTATTTCAAATTACTTCAGAAATAAGGCACAAATGGTCCCAGAGATTCTTTCAAATTACTTCAAAAACAAAAGACAAAGGGACCCCGAGATTCTTTCAAACTTTTTCAAAAAGAAATACACAGGGCTCCCGAGACTATTTCAAGTTACTTCGAAAATAAGACACATGGACTCCTCGAGATTCTTAAATTACTTTAAAAACGATACAATGGATCTCCGAGATTCTTTAAAACTACTTAAAAAATAAAACACATGAGGATCCCGAGATTCTTTCAAATATCTTCTTCAAATAAAAAATACACGGGGTTCCCGAGATTCTTTCAAATTACTTCAAAAATAAAACAAAGGATGCCCGAGATTCTTTAAAACCATTTCAAAAACAAAAGGCCCCCGAGATTCTTTCAAACTGCTTCAAAAATAGACACCATGGGTCTTTGAGATTCTTTCAAATTATTTCGAAAACAATACAAGAGATCTCCGAGATTCTTTCAAACTACTTTATAAAAACAAAACACAAGGGGTCCTCCAGTTTCTTTCAAATTTCTTGAGAAACAAGGCCAAAATATTTCCGAGATTCTTTCAAATTACTTCGAAAATAAGACACATGAAGTTCTCGAGATTCTTTTAAATTACTTCAAAAACAAAACAATGGATTCTCAAGATTCTTTCAAATTACTTCAAAAACAAGACAAGGGATCCCCTAGATTCTTTCAAACAATTTCAAAAACAAGATACAAGAGGTCTCCGACATTCTTTCAAACTACTTCAGAAGTAAGACATAAGAGGTCCCCGAATTTTTTTAAACGACTTTAAAAACAAAACACAAGGGGTCTTCGAGTTTCTTTTGAATTTCTGGAGAAACAAGGTACAAAATGTTTCCGAGATTCTTTCAAATTACTTCGAAAACAAGACAGATGAAGTTCTCGAGATTCTTTTAAGTTACTTCAAAAACAAAACAACGGACCCTCAAGATTCTTTCAAATTACTTCAAAAACAATACAAGGGATCCCCGAGATTCTTTCAAACCATTTCAACAAGAAAAAACAAGGGATCATCCAGACTCATTTAAACTGCTTCAAAAATAAACACAAGGGGTTCTTGAGATTATTTCATATTACTTCAGAAACAAGGCACAAGAGGTCCCAGAGATTCTTTCAAATTACTTCGAAAATAAGGCACATGAAGTCCTCGAGATTCTTAAGTTACTTCAAAAAACGTTACAATGGATCTCCGAGATTCTTTCAAAATACTTCAAAAACAAAACACAAGGTGACCCCGAGATTCTTTCAAACTTCTTCAAAAAGAAATACACGGGGCTTCCGAGACTATTTCAAGTTAGGTACTTCAAAAACAAGGCACAAGGGGTTCCCGAGATTCTTTCAAATTACTTCGAAAATAAAACACATGGAGTCCTCACGATTCTTAAATTACTTCAAATTTCCGAGATTCTTTCAAACTACTTCAAAAACATAAGCCACAAGAGGTTCCCCAGATTCTTTCAAACTTCTTTAAAAAGAAACACACGGGGTTCCCGAGATTATTTCAAATTACTTCATAAATGAGACTAGGGATCCCCGAGGTTGTTTAAAATCATTTCAAAAACAAAAATCAAAGGGTCGCCGAGATGCTTTTAAACTGCTTAAAAAAAAAAAATCGGGACGGCAGACACGCGGACAGACGGACGGACGGACAGACGAACAGACAGACGGACAGACAGACAGACGGAAACAGGAGACCCATTTCTTCATAGTAAACGTAGAGAGTCAAACGACGACCTCGATTACAATATTTCCTTCACTTACGCTCGGTAGGTAAAACCACACGGGGTGTCCGAGATTCTTTCAAATTATTTCGTAAACAAGATGCATGGAGTCCTCGAGATTCTTTCAAACTACTTGAAAAAGCAGATACAAGGGGTTTTCAAGATTTTTTCAAACTACTTCAAAAACAAGACAAGGGATCCCCGAGATTGTTTCAAACTGCTTCAAAAATAAAACACAGAAACATCCCCGAGATTCCTTCAAATTACTTTTAAGGCAACACATTATGGGTAGTCGTGATTCACCAGGGGGGGATTTTGTTTCTATAACGATAAAATATCGATACCGATAAAATGTGGTCGACTTTTCCTTTGGCATCTAAAATTTATATTTTCGTCCTTGTCATTTATCGCTTCGTTATCGTACCGCATCGGTGGAAACAAAATCTCACCCCAGAATCCAAATTTTATGTAGTACTTTTAAATGAAATAAAATTTCGGCACCGGTTTAAATTGGTTCAACAGGTCCATCCGCCCCTGTAGACAACAGTTATTTTAAATGTTTTAAAGTAGTTAATAAACGAGAATAACATGACAATAAAGATCAGCTCATCAAAACACTTCAAATTTAACAAAAGCTTAACAATAATATGACCAAGTGTACGTTTTAGAAACGGATAAAGAAAAATCAGGAGCGATAAAGATCTTCAAAGAAAAAAAACAGAAAGTTATCAGAATGTCTAGCATAAATTCTTTTAAAGCAAAATATGTGATAGTGATAGTGTCTGCTAATAAATTATTGTACCAAAATTCTAATTGTTTACGTGTACATACCCACATACTACTAAGTAAAATAAATAAGTTTTTACCTCACATTGTTTTAAGTCTTAAGTTGTATATAATTACAAAAACTAAATAATATACCGTTCCTTTAAAAATGCATAAACAGAATTACAAATTTTTCAAGTCCGGCAATCATCTCTTTGTAAGCAAAGAAGCTTGTATATATAAATTTTTATTGGAATTTGCAGTTAGTCACGCTGTGAAACTTCTTAGAAGTTAATGCAGAACATTGCAGTCATTTTCACTTATTTCTAACCATGCTGTAATAGAACATCTTTTCCTGTCGCTTTTTAAGAAGAAAATTGAACAATACATTTTGCTATTTTCAGGAAAGTCTTAAATCCTAAAATTTCAGCGTAATAAGTTACGTAATTTGAAAACGTAATAGTTTCATAAAATTGCAACTTTTATTATAGCTTATTGTTCCACACAAATAAAGTACCCTAATAAGGAATGAAACTTTACAGCATTATTTATTAACTTAACCATTTTAATTTTATACATCAACACACTTTTCGTTTGCATGCATCCTTAAAAAATAAATAACAATTTGGACAGTAAACACTAGATACGACTAGATCTAGACACTTATCACTGTTTTATTCAAAATAAAGTTTTGAACACATTCGCGAACGATATCTCCCTGCACATTTTACTTCGATGGCACACTCGATATAAGTTCCCTCCTTTTATAAACAGGCCCTGTTTGTGCAGCCGTTGTAGTTTCGTCCTTTTTACTTGGCGAACTGGCCGCATCCAGCGCTTCCGCATCAGGAATATGCCTCGTCTGATGCCTCGAATCTGTATACCTCCGTTTAGTGTACTTCTTCTTCTCCGAACTCGTCTTGGCTGGTTTCTGAACCTCCACTTTCGTGATTTTCTCGAAGTTCTCCGTTCTCGATTTTAAAACTACGTTACCTATATTGGAAATACTCGGCGTATGCTTTGGTTCCCTATCCGGGGATTTGATCTGCTCGAAAGTTGTTACGCTGTAGCTTTTCTGAATGTCTTGTTCCTTATGGTATGTTTTCTTGATCTGCTGCACCTCCTGAGTGGACGAGAATGTTACTTTCTGAAGACTGACCGAGCTAGAGTTTTTCTGGATCCTGGGTGTTTTCTGGGTTTGCAGTTCGTCGGGAATATAGTTGACGGTTTGCACGCTGTCGGGTGAGGTGGGAGGAGTCGACGACGCCCATGAAGGCGGCGAGCTATAGGCACCTTGATCGGCGATACTGCTCGAAACGGACGGTGGTGTATTTTGTACAGGGCTAGAATAAGTCGCCGAAGAACCTACAGCCGAGTCGTATCCTTGCACCAAGGATATCGATCCTGGTATCGCTTGCACCATTGAACCAATCGATGAATCGCTACCGCTGATTGATCGTTGTCTTCGTCTAGGTGGTGCTGTGGGCGATGTATTGACAACAGTCACCGGGTTGGTTAACCCGATAGTTAGTTGTTGTCGACCGTTATCTACGTCCTCTATGTAAGGAATGTCGTCGTCCACGTTCAGTGGACATTGCTGATTTACCGTTTGTACTGGGATAGTTAAGCTAACTGTTATAACCCCACTGTTGTCCAAAACATAAGGAGAAGACTTTCGTCGCTCATCATCTGTTATTCTCAAAGCCCGAGTTAAATCGCTGTCGGTATGAGTCGAGCTCGTGCTTTCCATGGACGAAGACCTGGTCTTACTATATTGATAATCGTCATCTTTTTGTCCCCTTAGTCGGGAGATAATGTTCATGGCTGTGGTAATCCCCGAACCTATACTACTTGCTTCTTCGTCCTTCTTTTTCCTAGCTACCGACTCATCTCTTCTTTTCTTGGAACTTTTTTTTTTAATTTGTTCTTTACTATGCCTGGAAGAAAATGTTATTATTATTAGTCTGTCTTGACAGATTGTCAATATTGGTGTATTAACATTGCGAACGTACTTTTTATAAACTAAATAAATTCCATTTACCTCATCCTCATTCCAGGATTATGCCCGCTTGTGGCCGCCCGCTCGTGCAAAAAATCCTCCCGACTTATTGTCTTAGTCTTCTTTGGTTCCGTTTCAGTCTGGGCGTTGTCGATAGACATCTCAGAAGTAGGCGCTGTTGGACTCCAAGGGGCTGAATAGCTTTCGCTATCCAGTTCTTCGACTGATCTACAATCCCACGTTTACGACTCACACTTAATCATAGAAATATTTTCTCAAACTTACTCGTCAGCGCCAGAAATAGCGTCCCTTTTATTTAAAAGCTGATCGAGAGCTTCTGGATGCGAATCCATCATGTGTACATAAATTTCATCTAGAAGGTCAGCCGAAATGCAATAAAGTTGTTTGTAGTGGTCAATAAGGGTTCGTACCACATTAATTATGTCAATTCTGTCTTCCGGACGATCCGCCGCGTTCTCCCTCGAACTTCCGGGCTTAATACAGTGAAGGATGTTTGGTGCGAATACTGTGGCTAAGTTGTTGGAATCCATTTTGTTTCCAGATATACATTCTCCTGGAATAAGCATAATTTTCAGGGGAGAAATAAAACCGGATTAAAAACATGACATGACATATCAAGATAATGAGATAAGATAAGGTTACTTAATTTACGTGAAAAATAAAAGAAACAAAAGTACGAAAAATAATTATACCTAACTTTTTACTTTTTAGTGACAAAAGGATGGCTTTAACAAAACACGTTTATTTATGACAGTGCGAAAAATTTAACTTATCCCACTCATTTGAATTCGGTAGTGAGTAATTTGTCACCGTCATACTGAAACACAAATACAGGGCTTTTATAGAGGATACTAAGTGCGTAGTTGGCAATGGATTTCAAAAATTGTGCCTCATTATCACAGTTCTTACTTGTCATTAATGTAATTTGTAACCCGTCAATTACAGCCTTGGTTTTTAATGTTTTAACGTTTTTCAAGGGTGAATTATAGTAAATCACATTAGAGATGTAATCAACAGATTTGTTCGAACTGGCAGTGTCAACAAAGAGAAATCTCGTGGAAAACCTTCAGTATCTGAGGAAGTTGTTGATGATTTGAGACGACTTGAGCAGAATTCGCAAAAATCTTTGACAAAATTTCCTCAGCAGTCAGGAGTTCCTGACGAAAGGATTTCAATTTGTTTCTTTTGTTGTAATGAATTAGTTTTATTTTTTAAAAAGATATGAAGCATTTAGGCAACCAGTTATACCGATGCATGTGGTCTTTGTCATGCGTCCTTGAAAATTTAGTACAGTTCAAATTTGAGAGGCGGCACGTTTACATGACCTACTGCGACCCTATAATCATTTATAAAAACCCAGTAAAAACCTTCTTCATTAACTTAAATAGATTTTGCAGAAGTTGTAAAGTCACAGATAAATTTAAAAACACGTTGAACTTGAACTAATACGTTATTATTATTTTGCCTAGATAATTATGTTCTTATCGCACACAATACCACGGAAACCACATATATACAAATATAAAAAAACGAACCAAAATTTGGATCATCATCCCCATCAAGAATTTGATAACCACATCTTAACAGATTCCGTATGAAAATAATTTAAATGTTATACAACAATATACTCCTTTACGATTACTGTTTGAGTTCTTCCGACAGACATTCAAATTTTCGCACCAAAATCCAAATTTTATAATCACCTTTTAAACCAGTATGATCGACTGTTTAATTACGTCTCCGTAGGAGTGTTGAGTTCGTCTCCGCCTTCTAACCCGAAGGTCTCGGGTGTCAAACGTTAACTGGGTAACTTATTTTTTATCTTAAATTGACTCTTATTATCTATATTTTTTAGTTATTAAATCAAGAATAGTTCACCCTATGTTTTTTTATTAATTAAATCTCAAGAAGAGTACACTCCAGTGTTTTATTATTAATATTACATTGCACGTGTCGGAATTGACATACGTGTCCTTGTTAATATCATGTAGATCGGAGCATTTTCAAATGGAAAAACTGTGAATTACAGGCATAACCTTGGCCTTTATAAATTCATTAATATTTTTGAAGCATTTCCAGGGGCTGCTTGTCCTATGAGGCAGGTGAAGCAATGCCTCAGGAAAGAATTTGCGCTGTGTTATTATTTTTATTATTCCTGACCGATACATTTCGGGCTAATAAAACGTTTTTTTTTATTTTAGAAATAAATATGAAAAATTACTGTTATTCAACTTATTTTGGTGTATTAGATGTCAAACTTGGCCGTATCTTTTTTTCCTCTCGGGCTGTTTATTATCTATGTTGATGACGTCACAACAAGCTCTTTAATAGTAATAAAATAAAAATTATAATACTGTGGCTCAACTAATAATTTTAATCGTCTGTTTTGAGGAGACAAACTCATTCAAACATAAACACTTGAAGCTAAGCTTGTTATTATTTCTGAAAGAACATTTTTTCCCGTTGCTTATATAATAATTTTACATTGCCCGTACTTGTGCGGCTTCCTCTTGGAGAGAGGGACTGCGGGGATGTTATTTATGCCGCTTATCACAAAACAAAAATTGAAAAATCAAATTTTATAATTTTTTAAAGAAGCGAAATTTGTCGGATTATATTACAAGGGCGAGGGACGTTGTATGGAAATAAACTTCGACCAATTTTTAACAAAGAAATCGACAATGTTTTCCACATACCGTATAGAGATTTAGCAATAAAAGAAGTTTCTTGGATAGAACTGTATCTCACTGTCGACAAAAAAAAAAATTCTGTTGTAATTTCTAGAGTTTTGTAAGCCGAACACCGTGGGGAGAACCGCATTCCGAAATTTCCATAAATAATTGAGACACTGAATTTTAAAAATACGTGATGAAAAATTTCACCAAAAGTTAAAAAAATATGATGGTTAGAGTAATAAGTGGGCAATTTATATTTAAAATTTCATAACAATAAGTCCATTAATAACGAAGATAACAAATTTGTAGAAAACTTAATATGTATTGACATTTTACCGTCGAAACGTCGTAAACGAATGATAAACAACAAAAATTAAAGCACATTTTTTCCGAAATTCTTGATATTACAATTAATCAAATACAAAATAAATAGCATTTTCTAGCACAGAAAAACTACACATATTTCACTTTGATGGCTCTGAAATTTCATATCAAAAAATCACTGTATGTTTCTTTACATAATGCGTTCGTATCTTAGATAATGGCGGAATGTGGGCGATTAAAGTATGATACGTTAATGAAATCAGAAAATCAAACTGTACAAGAATTCTAAAATTATAAAGGGTCACTAAAAAAATTCATCGAAATTTATTTCGCCAGAATTGCTCTCACCCCTGAAATAACAGGTATTTAATTGAAAAATCACTCGGAGTAGGCGTTTGTCAAATTTCATTTCGCAGTAATATAACCTGACATTTTAAAACAAACTACTGCAATGGTTGGATATGTGATAGAAACTGTTTGTTTTAAAATGTAAGGTTATGTTTTTGCCAAATGAATGGTATAAGAATAGACACGCCATTTGTGTAAACTCGAATTCCAACACCTACTCTGAGTGCTTTTTCAACTGAATATGCATTACAATAAAACATGCCCACTTTTTTTTAGAAAATTTATAAAATTTGATTTTGCGATTTTTTTTTAGGAGAACCCCTACAAGTTAATATAGAGGTATGCAGGAGTTTTCTGTTTACAAAATTTTGTAATGACGTCATCAACATTTTTGCAAGGACAATTTGGATAAATGCAGTGTAATAATGATAACAATATTGTATTTTCAAATTTTTGAGAAAATGGAGTGATTTTATCAAAAAATAAATTGGCTCTTCGTTAATTTACACTATATAACCAATTCAAAAACTTTTAATGCAAGGATAAACCACAAATATATTATAAATTATCATTTTTTGCACATGTTGGATAGGATCTATTCAGCAAACTTTTGAGATGACGTCATCAATTCTTTGGGAAGGGGTAAACCAATAATTTTTGATTTTTACCATGATTACAATAACCTTAAAACGCTTGCAACATTTCAGAGCATTCGATTTTGCGATTTCAAAGTTAAATTGCAAAATATTTTGATACAATTTTGATTTTTTTTTCCAAAAATCTGGATAATAATAATAAAAAAAATCATTTGGATGAACATGATCATGGAAAATCTGGTCTATGGTGAAAACTCAGACGGATTCATACACCACAAGGGCAGGAGTATCTTATTTTATTAAAAAAATTACCATTGTAAATTTTTGAGACGACGTCCTCCCATTGGTAGTGGGGAGTGGGTCATGAGACAAAGTTTGATTAGTATTTTACCATCTACTTGATATTCCTAGTCATACAAAATTTGTACTCTCGGGGATTATCTGTCTAATAAAAATGCGGACAGAAGGCAGTTTTAATGTATAGAGTTTAGTTCGCAAAACATTTTTTTTTATTTTTCAAAGCAGCGGGATTTCATAGATTATTATTTCAAAAACAACCCTTTCTATTTTCCTGCTGTTCAATTACTGTTAGTGTCATGACCTCATCTCAAAAAAATGAACAAATATTTATTGAAAAATATGCATACTATAAAATTAACTTTACAGATTTTTTAACTCGATTTTAACTGTTATTTGATAGGCATTTAAAACTCGTACACTTTGGTTTAAATCAATATAACTTGATTAATAGTCGATGTATGTAACGCACAGATTGTCACATTCTATTTTCACACAGCGAAACCGTAATCGGTGGAATTAATACTGTTCGAATCCTAGTGTTATCTGACTTTCTAAACAAACATTTGTGTGAATTAATAAGCTGCGGGAAATTTAGATTTCCATTTTTGCAAAATGAACAACAGGTCTGATGATATGTGTTCCCATTCGAGTGTTTTTACAAAAACAACAGAACTTAATTTGGTTTTTCTCCACTGCTTTTTTACTACCTTGCGCTTTCTATGTTTACATAAATACCTTCCCTTAATTATCGGCATTTTCCAGAATCAAATTACAAGATTAGTATGCATTATACGCTGTTACAGGAGAAGACACAATTTATATTCTGAATCACTGCAATAATAATTCTTCTAAACCCTTTATCTCACCACAGCGGCTATTTAACTCCCAGACATTTTTATTGGATTCTCAGCACATTGGCCACTATGTCTTCTCGTTGTCGTTAAACAGATCGATATTCTTTGACATAATTTACTTAGTACGAAAATTCCATGTACAACAAAAAACTTTCTAGTTCTCTAGATACCTCCTAGTCTACATTGTTATAATTTCTAAATTACCTGCTTCGTCCGTCACATCTGTAGCATTCTGTGCCACCATGGCAAGAAAGCTAAGAAGAGCATATAGAGTGTCCCTATTAGCTGCCGGAAGTAGCTGTATCAGATGTTGCAAAGCTTCAAACTGTAGTCTCCTGTTGCGTATTCCTTCAAACGTAAAGACAGTAACTCACAAGCAACTAACAAAAATGTGCTCTTACTTTGTGTCTGAACGAACGCTTGGTAAAGGTCTCTACAAAGAAGCGGATCTGGAAGATCTCGCAAATACTCTTTCAAAAGCGTAGCAACATCGTGCGGACATTGATCGTCGTCTAACGTTGTTTCTTTCCCGCAGTCAAAATCTTCCCTTAACTGTCTGATACGTTTCTTTGACGTGCTCACTCGAAAGATTCCTAACGTGCGTAGTCCGTGCTGTTCGATATGTCTAAAACAAGCGTGAAGGATGTTGGGGACGGAAGCTTCTTCTTCTTGGGTTGCTCCTGGCAGGTCGGCTGTTGAACCACAGGAAAGTGTGTCAAGGAGGCCGGGAACACTTCCCACCAGCCTTTCACGTAGCATCAGGCTCTCGCAGGAACCACTCTGGAATATAAAAGTAAAGTGAGATTTCTTTGCTTATGCTCCCAAGGTTGCTGTAGGTTTATTTATCTTGTTAGGGGAATTTTGTCTTAAAGTTACGGAGCTAACGTATACGAGATAAACCGAGTTGCGAAGGGAAAATCAATAAAAACTTTTTAGTAACGGTTCAAACTTCGTTTTTATTTTTTTCTTTTAGTACTTTCATACTGTAAAATATTGGATGGGACATTTACAACTCGTAACTTTTAGAAGTTATTTATCAAATATGTAATGATTTCAGGCATTCCTAATACGAGGTTTGGAACTGATCTGTACTGGAGACGTTTTTAAAGAATTAACTTTCGAGACTGCCAAACTAATTCATTTAAAAATTGTGTATGTATAAGGTTATCGGGAAGATGTTAAATCCTCTAAATATGTTAGAGCTAGATGTTATCAGGATTTTAACCTAACCAAAAATCATTTTGTGTACAACTTTTTAGGCCATTTAAAATAACACTATTTTCGATTTAAAAACAAAACCTTCAAATTAAAAAACAAACAGATGAACACTCAACTTCCTAAGAGTTAAAGCGTCATCGCTGACGTTACAGTAAATGACTTAATTTTGTTTTTCAAAAATATAAAGTATGTCACATTTTTAAGCTAACTGAATACTGCGTAGAAAAAAAAATGTAACTCTGGCTTTTGATTGTTTGTACCAATTATGTCGTATCTAATAGGCACTGATAAGATTACAAACTAAAAAAGATTAAAGTCGTTTCTAACATCTCACTACTCGTTTAATTGTACTTTTGATTTGTATTTTAATTATTGTTAAACTTTACCTTAATATTATATTTTTATTGTGACAACATCGCGTTACCATCGTCCAGCCGAAAATATTTGGACTTAGAGGTAGCTTTGAAAAGTTTACTACATTTATCTACTATATGCGATATAACTGACAAAATAATGGTAAGAATGACATTTAATCAACGGTACACAATTTTGAGACTAACACCACATAATAAATTGTTGTCAAAATCTTCAGTTAGAGTCAACTCCAGAATAGTGATTTTGTTCGCACATCTAATAATAGCATTCATTTCAATTTGAAAGTTTTTATTTTATTATTATTAATATTCACAGTGTTTGTAAAAGTACAAAAACGAAAATGTATTATTTTTTTTTTGTTTCTCAAAACACGCAGAATTCTGAAGAAGTTCTGTGTTCAAAATTTTTAATATCATATCATGAATTCAGTGAAATCTTACCTGCAATTGATCTATTCATCACCTACAAAAACTAATGAGCTCATTTCACATTTTTATGAAGTAAATCACGCTTGAAATACTCGTGATATGGTACATCGTGCTGCTACTTTCATGTTTTCTCGACGTTTCATAACTCCTAGAGAATGAAAAAATAAGTCTCCCTTTCCCGTCTCTCTGTCTGTCATAAATCATCAATGTCGATATTTATAATCTTCGAAGTACTGGACTGAATATCAAATTCTATAGGTAAATAGATAGACAAATATCGTGTAGACGTTAAAAAAATTGTCTGATCATCTCCACCAAAAATTTAATGTTGTCACCCAAAAATTTTGCATGGTAAGTGCTATTTAAATCTTATAAAAATATACTGTATTTGCGGTTTATGAACCCGCTTTGGTTTTTCACCCTAGGCATTCAAACGTTCCCAAAAAAAAATTAAAAGTTTGTAACCACATTTTAATATTTAACTTGGACACTGAAAAACCGAATGCTCTTAAATATTGCAAACGTTTTAAGCTTATCGTAAATCTAATAAATCGTTAATATATTTTTACTTCCCGAGCGTAAGCGTATTGTAATCGAGTCTGTCAGCCGACTGTCTACTTTTATTTCTCGACCTTTCATGACACCTACAATATGAAGAAATAAGTTCCCGTCTCCGTTTCTTTGTTTGTCCATCTGTCTGATCGTCTATCCGTTTGTCTTTCCGCCTATCCGTCTGTCTGTCCGTCTGTCTGTCTGTCCCTCTGTCCGTCTGTCTGCCGTCCCGGATTTTTATTAGACAGATAACCTCCGAAAGTATTAGGCCGATTGTTGTCAAATTTTGTATCTATATTAAGAATATCTTGTAGATGGTAAAACGTTAACCAAAATTTGTCTAATCATCCACACCAGTAATCTCATGACGTCACTTCAAAATTGTACATAATAAATGGGTTTTAGATTGTATAAAATAAGATAGTTCTACACATGTAGTTTATGAGACCGTGTTGAGTTTTCATCCGAAACGTCCAGATTTTTTGAAAAAAAATTAAAATTATGAAATCAACATATGTTTATATATCCCCTCCAAAAAATCGATGACGAGAGGTCAAAATTTTGCCGAATAAATCGTACCTAAATTGTACAAAATACAATGAGTCTGCACTTGTAATTTATCCTTCCATTCATATTTTTTGGATTTGCATATACAGAATGAGTCAAAAAAATTAATGAATGCTTGAATGTATTTTATTGATTTAATCAGGAACTACAGAAGCGAATGCTTTGAAATCTTGGAGATGTTTTAAAGTTATCATAAGCATGGTAAATTTTTGATCAAAATGTATTTGCTCATCCCCCCTAAAAAATGAATGACGTCACTTCAATATTTTGCTGAATTTTATTATCTTAAACGTGCAAAGTAATAGCAACACTAATAGTCAACGGAAAAAAAACCTTTTCACGCTGACCAATTGAAGTAAGGAATCGTCCTATTTACCCTTGCTAATTATACAAATGGGATTTCTTACGAAAATTTTGATGCCTAGAGTAAAAAGTTAATGCAGATTCATAGACCACCAATACAAGAGTATGTGATTTTATAAATTTTCAATCGTATTTACTGAAAAAAATTTGATTTAACGTCATCAAATTGTTGGTAGAGATGATTGGACAAATTTTGGTTAGGGTTTTATTGTCTAGATGATATTCCTAAAGTACAGATAAAATTTGACAACAATTGGTCCAGTGATTTCGAAGGTATCTGGCTAGTTTGGGTTGACACACTGTTTGTACTTCTATAGTATATTTTTTATTTATCACAATGACCTAATCCTTTTAAAAATGTTTATTAACATTTGTTTAACCATTACTTTAAAAGCTTGTAGATAGCATTGATTGTGCTTGAGAGACAAGTAAAGTTCTATGTGAATAATTTGTTTGGTAAAACTGGATTTAGTGCATCTGACGTTCAATTTTCAGACATTTCGTTTATCCTGTTATTCATTCTTTATGAGATTTCGTGATTCTCAGCCTTTCTGATGCGTTATCTCCATGTTATTATTGGATTCCCTGGCTATTTCTTTCCCGATATTTGCTTTTGCTATATATGTCTCATATATCTACCACATTAGTTATTAGATACTTCCCGAGCTTATGCTAAAGAAGTATAGTAATCGAGTCCAACGGGCGACTTTTCAGTTTCAACTTTTCTCGACGTTTCATGACCCCTAGAGTACGAAAAAAGTGATGTGCCGTTTCCGTCTGTCTGTCAACATTTTATCACTAAGTCGCACGTTCGATGCCAAATTTGACCGTTTCTTTTTTTTTCTCTCTTGCGCTGTGACTAGTATTATCTATGTTGATGACGTGATCACAAATGTTGTATTGATCAAATGAGTCCAAAATGTGAGAATATGTACGTCTTTATTTAATAATGATAAAATATAGTTTGGGAAATAAAAATATACCTTATAAAATTTTATTGCCAATAACGAGGCTGACACTAATACATTGGTAAGAAATATTTATGGTTCACACCATTCACCCGAGTTTGTCGGAGAATATTTAGCAGGTAAAGTGTTCCCAGTTTAAAGTGGTTTTTATGATAGGTCCATTGTGTGGTTGGTTTCTTGAAGAGCCGTACTTTGTTATTCAACTGATATTGTCCGTCGTAGGGTAATAATGAGGTGATAATGTTTATTAACTTATCATAAAAACCACTTTAAACTGGGAACACTATAACTGTCCACACAGGGTCGAGGTCGTGCTATTCTTAAAATTTACACTCTAACATCTGGTGACTATGGGCACGCGACAATTTTGAGTTGTAAACAGTCCTTACCATTGTACTAATGTCCATCTTGTTATTGGTAGTAAAAATTTTATAAAGTATATTGTTATTTCCTAAAGTATAAGAATTTTAATAATAATATTCAGAACATTTTGTTCGATTGTGGCGTAACTAATAAATGAATATTTTTTCTGTTTTGGAGCGACTCATAGAAATCAAAGACATCTCTACGTTACATTCTTTCGATCTATGAACAAAAATACTTGAAGTTAAGCATGTTATTAATTATTGCTGAGAAGCCATTTTTCCCATTGGAATTTGCACCCCCCCACGGTGCACTGGCCACGGGGATGTTATTTATGCCACTGCTTATCAAAAAAACATAGCAAAACTTGTAATGCGGGTGGAAGAGAAGTTGTATCGAAATAAACTTCGACCAATTTTTTGTAAATAGCATTCTGAGCCAATACTAAGAATAACAAGGAATCGCTTATAATGTAGATAACAGGCTCTAATCTGCAGCTACATCTACTACTAAATTTTGCATATTCAGAGATCACCAGAAGCCGTCATCTGACCTTTGATTACCCCAATCTCATCAGTTAATAATGCACCATGTTCAATAACACAAATCCCTTTATCCCCCTATAAATGGTTTTCTATCTCCCTAATGCGCTTCGAAAATACAAACCAATTTCGTCCTAGAATTAAAATCTTCACGACTGATTATCTGATCCCAGTTTAATTGTAACATAAAACTTGTTTAAAGTCTATTTTCCTTCCTTAGAGAATAAAACGACGTCTTGAGCTTATCCGAAGTAATCGTGCCAAGTTTGACGTCAATTGACTGATGCAACGGAGCAGTGACGTTTTTTCAACGACACGGATTGATAATAACAAGCTGTAAAGCTAGGAGTTTCTTTTTTCAGACGCTTTCAAGAACGTTACAAAGCGATAAAATTCAGTTGTGG